TTAGTGTTTTATTAATTTATTTAATTTTTGTATTGTTATTTGTTTAAATTTTTTGTCTTCTTATTATTTTTTTTGAGCTTTACATTTATTGTTTCATTATTATATTTTATTCATGGCTTGCTACTTGTTTAAATTGTTGTTTTTTTTTTATTATTTTGAGGTTTAAAATTATTATTTCATTATTATATATTCAAAAGGTTACAAGAGGCCACCTGGAATAGAGAGGATAGAAACCCCATGGTTAAAAAAAGAAAAGGATGGACCCACTTGAAGGAATACAAACACTTTGCAGCGATTCTCACAACATTTGACTTTGTTGTAAGAGAAAGGGAAAGGAGGATCACATTTTAATTTCCTCCGCCCATCTTAATTTCAATCACCAAAATCCACTATTCATCAAATCCATTCATTGTCTCTTTTTTCCGCCTCTTTACCGATCAATGCCAAATGATAAGATTAGATGGTGCTTTCCCTAAAAAAACAACTAAAATAATAATAAATAAATAAAATAAAAAATTAAACAGTCATGCAGAAGCATACTTTAAATTCAATCCCATTTTGTAGTACTCCTGCTAGCCTGTATTTTTGGATAAAACCAATGTTTGAAAGCGGAGATCATTGGGTGTTCAACCCACATCCACGTCAGATTTACTAGATCACTCATTTGGATAGGTATGGATGGATCTAAACCAGTGATATAAAAAATTATTAAAAAATAAACAATTAAAATTAAAATAAGGATTTATGGAATGGGGATTTAAGGGGACCAAAATGATAGAGTTAATCATGCTGCTTACATAACAGTATCGGCACAACGGTCCAGATTGAATCTAGGCCGATGTGATGATCACGACTTTATTTCGTATTTGAATTTTCATTTTTTTTGTACAAATCCAAATCACCTAATTTGAAATTATTTTTATATCTTTATTAGATTCTTCTATTTTTAAAGAATGAACGCCTAAAACTTTCAAGTGATTTAGAGTTTTTTTAAAAATAAAAATTTAAATACAAAATAAAGTCGTGATCGTCAGATTGGCCCAAATTCAATCTGGGCTGTTGGCTGATATTTTTATGTAAGCAGCTTGGTTGACTCTATCATTTTTCATATATATATATATATATATATATATATATATAGTATGTGTGT